TGCCTATTTGCCATTCCAATGCGTAGGCCAGCAAAAGAATTTTCTCAAGGGTGACCTTCAGAAACTTACCCGTCATAGGTCTAAATTCTTCATTATTGGTGATTTTAATGCAAAACACCGCTCATGGAATAATGCTCAAAGCAATTCCAATGGTAATATTCTGTTTGATGATTGTTCTGCAGGTTATTACACTATTCAATATCCAAACAGCCCAACATGCTTTTCTTCTGCAAGAAATCCCTCAACTATTGATTTGGTCTTAACTGATTCATGTCATCTTTGTAGCCAATTGGTTACCCATGCTGACTTCGGTTCTGATCACCTTCCAGTAACTTTTGAAATATCCCAAGAAATAATTTCTAATCCCAACAGCTTTACTTTCAATTACCATAGGGCTGATTGGGAGCAATATCGAACATTTATGGAATATAACTTCGATCCAAACATTCCTTTGCAAACCAAAGATGAAATTAATTATGCTCTTGAATCTCTGACTACTTCTATAGTTGAAGCAAGAGCTGTCTCAGTACCAAAATGCGAGGTTAAATTCGATTCAATTATAATAGACGATGATCTTCAGCTCTTGATCCGTCTTAAAAATGTCCGTAGGAGACAATTTCAAAGAACACGCGATCCTGCCATGAAAGTTATCTGGCGGGATTTGCAAAAACAAATTAAAAAGCGATTCTCTGCCCTGAGGAACAAAACTTTTGAAAATAATGTTTCTAAATTAGACCCGAGTTCCAAACCCTTTTGGAAACTCACAAAAATTTTGAAAAAACCTCAAAAGCCAATTCCAGCGCTTAAAGAAGGTGGTAAAATTTTGATCACAAATTTGGAAAAAGCTCAGAAACTTGCTAAGCAATTCGAGAGTTCCCATAATTTCAGTTTGGGTCTTACTAGTCCTATTGAGAATCAGGTTGCTCGGGATTTTCGGAATATTTTCTCTCGGGAAAATATTTTTGATGATTCCTGGGGGACTGATTTGGACGAAGTAAGGTCTATAACTAAAAAGTTTCAAAATATGAAAGCTCCAGGTGATGATGGAATTTTCTATATCCTCATCAAAAAACTCCCAGAGAGTACCTTGTCTTTCTTGGTAAAATTATTTAACAGATGTTTCCATTTGGCATACTTTCCTGATAAATGGAAAAATGCAAAAGTTGTTCCAATTTTGAAGCCGGATAAAAATCCAGCTGAAGCTTCTAGCTACCGCCCAATAAGTTTGCTTTCTTCAATAAGTAAACTTTTTGAAAAGATAATTTTGAATAGAATGATGCTTCACATCAATACGAACTCAATTTTTGCAGATGAGCAGTTTGGATTTCGCCATGGGCATTCAACTACTCATCAACTCTTAAGAGTTAACAATTTAATTCGTTCAAACAAATCTGAAGGCCACTCAACTGGAGTTGCTCTTCTAGACATAGAAAAAGCATTCGACAGTGTTTGGCATGAAGGTTTGATTGCTAAATTGAAAAAGTTTAATTTTCCACTTTATATTATGAAATTAGTTCAAAATTATTTAACTGACAGAACTCTGCAGGTAAATTATCAAAATTCCAAATCTAATCGACTACCTGTTAGAGCAGGAGTTCCTCAGGGTAGCATTCTTGGGCCTATATTGTATAACATTTTCACTTCGGACCTCCCTGATTTGCCTCAGGGTTGCCACAAATCTTTGTTCGCTGATGACACAGGCATTTCCGCTAAAGGAAGAAGTCTTTGTGTTATTTGCAGCAGACTTCAGAAAAGTTTAGATATTTTCTCTTCTTATTTACAAAAATGGAAGATTTCTCCCAACGCTTCCAAAACTCAACTTATAATATTTCCACATAAGCCCAGGGCTTCCTTTTTGAAACCTAGTAGTAGTCACATAGTCACTATGAACGGAGTTCCAATTTCCTGGTCAAACCAAGTGAAATATCTTGGATTAATACTTGACCATAAATTAACTTTTAAAGATCACATTGAGGGCATTCAAGCCAAATGTAACAAATATATAAAATGTTTGTATCCTCTTATAAACAGGAAATCCAAACTTTGCCTGACGAATAAACTTCTAATATTTAAATAAGTTTTTAGACCGGCCATGCTTTACGCTGTGCCAATATGGTCTAGTTGCTGCACTACCAGGAAAAAAGCACTTCAAAGGATTCAGAACAAAATTCTGAAAATGATTTTGAAGTTGCCTCCCTGGTACAGTACTACCGAAGTACATAGAATTTCGAATGTTGAGACTTTAGCACAAATGTCCAACAAAATAATTAATAATTTCCGGCAAAAATCGTTACAATCCTCAATTGCAACGATTAATTCCCTTTATACTTAGATAAGATTTAGTTTTAGTTATTTAGTTTTAAGCTATCAATTGTTATACTGACATGCAGGTTTAAAAAACCTGTTTAAAATACTGAATTGCCAAGACAGGAACAATGTAAAAACACTTAGATATATATCATAACAATTAAGGCTGGTAAGTTACTGTAGTAACTGGAGCACCTAGGTTAAAAATGAAATGTAATTTATTTTGAATTTGGAACAAATAAAGAGTTAAAAAAAAAAAAAAAAAAAAAGTTGCTACCCTGAATACCATAAAACATTTATTATCAATACGTTTGGGTTCGCTTGATGATAAAATTTTGCTAAAACGCTCTAAAATTGGATAACATTTATAGCTCTTTATTTGAAGATGGAAATAGTAAATATGTACAAAACTCGTAAGCAAATAAAAAACGTATCGCAAAAATGGCATGTTTCTACCATTTACAACAATTCCACTTCTCTAGTGAATGTTCTCTGATGTCGTAGGCCAAGCTGTGGAAGAGGCTTTCGCCTCGTATAACGGAGCATCTCTTTCCATTGTTCTCTTATGCATACAAAGGACATAAGTGTCGATGAATTCTGATCCTAGTTTTTGCATGCGATGTTCCTAAATCTAACCGTAGCCGAGCGCTAAGGGCGAAGACATCAGACGTACCGACGACGACGACGACGACTATGACGACGTTGTTGCAATGTTTAGCTGTAAAGACTGGAACGCGCAAAAATTGGTCGACAAAAAAAATCGTTTCTTTCAGTCAAAATCTCAACAACTCACAAAAATCTTCTTATTTTTCCTCTGGTAGTTCAATTCATATATCTAAGGGAAAAAATGTTCGTTTGTTCTTTTGGTTTGCCATATCCGAACTGCCGTGCCTTCCGCTTAACCCCTTCCATTAAATTTTGCACAGTGGTCTCATCGAATTTATTCGCCGCGGAAAGCCAGTAAGATTTAAACTGCTGCTCGTTTTCCATGGATTTATTAGTTTTTTGACGTTGGATAACGTCTTTCGGCAACATACGGGGGTACAAAATTGAAAACAGTCATTTTGGATGAGTTACGAAAAATTAAAAGATTTTGAACGATAATAACTCAACCGTCTCTCGATAGATTTACGAGATAATGGCATCAATCGATTGGAAATATTTCTTACAATTTGCTGAATGTTTCAAAACTATTGATTTCATTCTGTAAACTATTGAAAAATGGTTAAAAGTAAACCATTGTCTAAAGATGGTGAAAATCGATTGATTTTTTATATTCTTATACTTTCTCCAACCGAGACATCAGATGCGAGTATCTGACACCTCTGATATTTTCTGTTCTACTATATAAGCGTCCAACAAGGTCGCCCGTTCCATCATTGTCTATCCGATCGTCGACCCAGCAGCAGAGCAGCAGTACCAGAGCAGCGGAAGCAGAGCAACGGCAGCAGAGCAGCGGCAGCAGAGCCTGGGGGCGAAAGGGCAACTACGCCGAGTGCGTTGGTGCCAGTGCTCCGGTATACTGGGCCGCCGTCATGGAATGCCCAGCTGCTGCATTTCTCAGTCGGTCGTATTCACCGTTTGCTCCGCAAGGGCAACTACGCCGAGCGCGTTGGAAAAATTTATTAAACATTATAACAACATTATCAAGAAAGAGTTTAACGATTAATTTTCTAATTGCGAAGATTCAGCAGAGCCATATTTTATCTCGAAAAATAGTTTTAAAATTCTTAACAACTAGAATCTTGAAAACATAATAAAATTTACTTAGAAAGTACCATATGTTATTTTCTAGTGGATTGGGCAAAGACCTTTTCACTTTGATGCTACATGAAAATAAAGTGAAATTCATTTCCAAATCATATACCGGACCCGGCTGTGTTTGTTTTCAAAATCTCGAAAACAAACCCCCGCACACGTTCTACTTCGTTACTTCTAGACTAAAATTTGAAAGGGGCGGAAGAGCCAAAATGTAAACAAACCATATTTTGGCACATATAGAAAGAACAGTTCACAAACTACTCGATAAACACGAAAAAGTAGAAGTAAATATCACTTCATATCATCAAAAACGTTTCTTCTTACATGGCGGATTTCCAACTTTCAACTCGATGATGCAACTGGTTGTTACGCCTTGCACCAGAACAACGAATTATATTGTTTTAATATGCCAAACGTATTGATTCTGTAGTATCTAGTCACGCCCGATTCATTTGAAACGCATCCGATTGATATTTCACGTGTAAACAACGAACAAAAAGAAGATCAAAAAAATCTCCGGGCGTAATTCCACTCTCACAAAATTTACGAACGAAGAACCAAGGCGGAACAACAAACAAAAAATCCCGATGGTGTACTTCCACGGCGTATCACCAGTGTTGGCAGTTCAAAGTGTGGAAGATCTGGGGGGTAACAACATGTATGAAATTATCAGAGCGTATGATGTTTTCTTCTCAATTTCACGACAAAGAAAACTTTTTTTGAGTTTTTATTTATGCATGATGATAGATTACACTATTAACTACATGTCAAGCTTATAAAATCATCCAGAAAATGGAAAGTCGTGAAATAGGATTAATTTTTAAGTCATCAAAATTCGGAAGCGATTTTCTCGATATGGTTTTTTTGGAGTTCCGCCCTTTCCAAATGTTAGTCTAGACTTAATCTAGACTAGAACGGAACGAAAGGTCACTTCAACTCTTTTGAATTATTGTGGTGGCGCTCAAAAGGGCCGGTTTTGTCAAGATACGACGAGCCAGCTGGATGTCCTTCGGCATGATAGTAACGCGCTTGGCGTGGATGTCACACAGATTGGTATCCTCGATCAGACCGACCAGATAGGCCTACTGCAGAGCCATAAAAGCTGAGCTCTGGAAGCGCAGATCGGTCTTGAAGTCCTGGGCAATTGCACGGACCAGACGTTGGAAAGGCAACTTTCGGATCGGCAGTTCGGTGGATTTCTGATAGCGACGGATCTCACGCAAGGCGACGGTGCCTGGCCGGTAGCGATGGGGTTCTTTACTCCTCCGGTGGCTGGAGCGCTCTTGCGAGCGGCCTTCGTTGCCAACTGCTTGCGAGGAGCCTTTCCTCCAGTGGACTTGCGAGCGGTCTGCTGAGCTGGTTGTGATGTGTATGCAATGAAAGCACACTGTGGAATAAAAAATAAAAATAGTTTAGTTTTAGTTTAAATGATCTTTATTTTAGTTTAACTTGGGCGATTACCATATAAATTTTTACTAAGTGATTTAATTGCTTTCTTCATCTTTAGGTATGGGCAAAATTCAAAATTTGTTTTACAGAATTAGTCCTAGACTTAGTACACGGTCGACCACCTTGGTGGGATTGGTTTGTTTTGTTTTTAGAATTTGAAGAGAAACTACTTAATACTACTATTTACAGCTTAAAACTAACCTACTCTACTATATACACTTAACCTACTATGTACAAATTGCTTATTAAAGCATGTTCAGAAAGATTGCATTTTTGAATAAATTTAGTTGTCATATCATCAATTTTGGAATCTACTTTGGGAATTTCTGCCTCTTGATGGAGGTCTGCTATTCTTGTGTCGAATGGACGATCTAGGATCATCCTCAACACTCTATTCTGTGCAACCTGGATTTTGTTCCTGTGGGTCTGAGCGCACGATTCCCACACCGGGGCGGCATAGAAGATCGCGGGGGCTATGATCTGTTTGTAAACAGCCAGTTTGTTTTGCCTTGAGAGGCGGGATCTGCGGCAAATGAGTGGATACAAACACCTAACCAAGGCGGAGCACTTAACTAGGGTTTTCTCTATGTGCGAGCGGAACAGGAGCTTCTCATCGAACAACATCCCGAGATAAGTAACATCAGTGGACCACTCGACCCTTGTACCATCCATTATTACGGTACAGGAGGGAGACGGTTTAAGTTTTGGCGATTGTCTGTGAAGGAACATGATTGCTTGGGTTTTCGAGGCGTTGATTTTGATTTTCCACGTGGTGGCATAATCAGTAAAGGTGTCAAGGCATCGTTGGAGCTTGTTCGTAATTTCACGAGGCATCCTACCCTTGACGGCTATCGCGGTGTCATCTGCGAACAGAAAGAACACGCAACCGTCTCCTAGAGGAGGGATGTCCGACGTGTAGATGCTGTAAAGCAGTGGTCCCAGCAGACTCCCTTGCGGAACACCTGCTGGGATCGGAAATTGTCCCGAAAGGGAACTATTCAACGACACCCTGAACGACCTTTGCTGGAGATAGTTACGGGTGATTTTCACAAGGTATGGTGGAAAGTTGGAGTTACAAAGCTTGTATATAAGTCCGTCGTGCCAGACATTGTCAAACGCCTTTTCGACGTCTAACAAGGCCATGGCTGTGGACTTGGATACAGCTTTGTTACTCCGGATGTTATTCATCACCCGCACTAGCTGATGATTGGTGGAATGCCCCTTACGGAACCCGAACTGTTCCGGAAGAAGAATGTCATGTTCCTCCACAAACTTGTTTAGTCGGCTGAGGATCAATTTTTCGAACAGCTTGCTCAGCGCTGAGAGCAGGCTAATCGGTCTGTAGCTTGACGGTAGTGAAGGGTCTTTCCCAGGTTTGCGGATCGGGATGATTTTTGCCACCTTCCAGATGCTTGGAAAGTAGTGCAGCTCCAAGCATCTGTTGAAGGTGGCAGCTAGCAGCGAGTGCACCCTCGGGCTGAGATTTTTCAACGCTAGGTTGAATATTCCGTCAAACCCGGGAGCCTTCATGTTCTTACTGTATTTCAGCGCTGAGCAAATTTGTTCCTCTGTAATCCGTTCTTCTGGAGGGACGGCACAAGGGGAGGCATCTAACGTCAGGACGCACTGCGCAACCTGGTTCTCGAGTGGACTTGGGATTTTAGAGCCAAGCAAATGCTACTGGGCAATGTGCTCCCCAATCGCATTGGCCTTCTCTTCGTTGGTGATAAGCCGTTCGTCATTGACTCTAAGTGGTGGAATGGGCTTGGGGTGAGACTTCAGCACCTTGGCAACCTTCCAGAATGGTCTGGAACGGTCGTCCAGGTTCTGAACGAGCCGCCCGAAACTCTCGTTCCGGATTGAGACCATTCTGGAAGCGATCTGCCGATTCAGATCGACCATTTCGTATTTACGCTGCAGATCCCCAGTCCGCTGAAACTGGCGTCTACGAACATTTCTGAGCCGAATCAAGAGTTTGGTGTGGGAATCAATTGCTTGAAACTTACCCCTCACAGGAACTCGTCGAACGCACTCTTCGTCAGCCACGGATATGGCTTGATGGAGACCCTCCAGGGCCCGGTCGATGTCATCCACTGTGTCGAGCGGTGGGTTGTCGTCGATGTGGCGGTCGACCACGCGTCGAAACTGGACCCAGTTGACTCGATGGTAGTCCTTCCGCTGGCACGGTGCAGGGGCCACGTTGTAGCCCAGCTCGGTCAGCACCGGTTGGTGGTCCGAACTCAGGTCGTTGACGGCAACCGGCTTGGCTAATCTGGTGTTTGCCAAGAACAGGTCCAGCGTCGATGGGTTGCCCGTCGGTGATGTGAAGGATGGTTCGTCCGGAAACCAGACGGAATAGAGACCATGCTGGGAATGGTCGAATAGCAGGCGGCCGTTCTGGTTCTGCTGGTAGTTCCGCCAGGCCTCGTGCCGGGCGTTCAGGTCCCCTCCGATTACAAAGCGGGCATTGGTGTGGGTTATGATGGCAAGGTCGTTCTTGAACTGCTGTGCTGTACCATTGCTAACGGTACATTGCCGGGGGCAGTAGACGGCGATGAACCGGACGTTTCCGGTCGATGTTTCCACCTCAACGCCGACGGCCTCGATGATGGAAGTGCGGTAGTGGGGTAGGGTGCAGTACTTGATGCCTTTCTTGATGATGACCGCGACACCGCCCCCCCTGGAGCTGGTGCGATCAAGCCGGACAATGCTGTGGTCGGGCAGCCAGAAGCTGTCACCGGTCTTGAGGTGAGTCTCGGTGAGAAGGCCCACGTCGATGTCGTGCTTGCGGAGGAAGTCTGCAAGCTCAATGTTTTTCGCCCCTACGGAGCGAGCGTTCCAGTTGGCGATCTTTATGGGTTCACGGTCCATAATTAGCGACAAAGGAGATGATAGCTTGGAGCTGTTGTGTTCTTGTTGCGCAGGTGCGCTTGATGATGATGGCCTGGGCCAACAGTGTGACGATCTCATCCGTTGACAGCGGAGAATCGTCTGTAGCTTCACCGGTTGTACCGGCCAATCCCGGAGCAGGGGGATCCGTCGATGGCCCGGAGGCTTGACCGGGAACTGCAGCGGCAGCCAACTGTTGGTTGAGCGGGAGCGGCGGCAACACTGGAATTGGCCGTGATTGTACCGGTGATAACGGAGGAAAGTTCTGCGCGTTGTTTTCTGGAACCTTCTTGCGACCGGGCTGGCTGTTGGACGAGGCCTTCTTCCGGATCTCGGCGTATTCGGCCCGCTTCGGACAGGCCTTACTTGAGGCCTTGTGGGCGGCACCGCAGTTGGCGCATGTGGGAGTGGCTTCCTCGATGCTGTCGCAGTTGTCGATCTTGTGGTTTTTGCCGCATTTGATGCAGCGGCTGGCCATGCGGCAATTCCTGGTGCCGTGCCCGAACAATAGGCAGTTCGAGCACTGAGTGACGCCACGGTGGGTGGGTTTATACCGCTCCCACTTCACTACGATGTGGAACAGTGTGCGTGTCGTCTGGAGATCCTTCACGGTTGTGGAGTTCTTCTCCAGATGGACCAGGTAGAGCTGGTCACGATACTTGATGGCCTTGCTGCGGGTCATCTTGTGGACTTCGACCGGCTTGAGGCCGTTCGCCTTAATCTCGTCCATTAAGGTGGTGGTGTCCATGTCGTGGAGCCCGCGCAGCACCACTTTCAGCGGCTTGGTGGCCTCGATGTCGTGGGAGAAGTACTCCAGCTTCATCCTGTCCAAGAGGGCCTGGACTGCGTTGTAGTGATTTTCGGCCGAGACCATCAGTTTGTAGCCTTCCGTGCACCGTTGAATGGTGCAGCGAAGGCCCTGCTTAATGTAGAAATCCAGCTGCTCCCATAGCCCGGGAGGGAAGCCCTTCACATAGAAGGGTGGCAACTTAACTTTTTTCGGCACCGTCTCAGGGTCCGACTGCGGCTGGGCTCCGTTCTGCAGGGCGGAGAACGGATTGTTGCTCAGCAGCTTTTTTGCTGCTGATACGGTGGCGCTGCTGTCTTCAGGTCTGGGTCGTTTAGTTCCGGGAGGCCCCGGCTGCGGGTCCGCAACGCCTGTCGGGATGGGCAATGGGGTTTTCTTCTGCTTCTTCTGGGCTGGCTCGGTGGTCGCGCCGTCTCCTGGGAGAGTCTGTTTTCCCGGTAAACCGGCACTCGCGTTACCGCGCGATTTCTTACCCATGGCTGGGTCAGCGAGAGCGTCACTACACAACGCGGAGCTAATTCGACTTGCGAACGAACGAACGAAACTAGAGAGAATTTAAATCGACTGAACTGCTCAACAGTCTGGCAGCGAATGATGATAAAAAAAAAAAAAAAAAAAAAAAAAAAAAAAAAAAAAATCACTTCCATTCTGTTTTATAACATGCGTTTGCTGTGTTCAACCAATCAGAAACGATGAAAGAACAAGAACACAACAACTAACCAAAAGAATTTAACCCTCAAGTAGGTATAAAACAGCCAAAATTTGAAATTTTTGTTCACTTTTGTTTCAACCTTCATCGACGTTACAATTGTCATACTAGGAAATTACTGGACGCGGCAAGGGTGGAAAAGGACTTGGCAAAGGAGGAGCCAAGCGTCACCGAAAAGTGTTGCGTGACAACATCCAGGGCATCACTAAACATGCAATCCGTTGTTTGGCTCGTCGTGGTGGAGTTAAGAGAATTTCCGGTCTCATTTACGAAGCAACCAGAGGAGTGCTGAAGGTATTTCTGGAAAACGTTATTCGTGACGCCGTTACTTACACCGAACATGCGAAGAGGAAGACTGTCACCGCCATGGATGTCGTTTACGCTCTGAAGTGGCAGGGCTCTGTACGGATTCGGGGGTTAATTTAGTATCATCGACTCAGAACAAAAAACCGGCCCTTTTCAGGGCCACCATATAAATTTAATAGGTGTTTTAGAATTGACTTTCTTGCCAGAATGTGAAAGGTTGAAGTGATGTGATGGAGCGTTCATCAATCTGCGGGTGTTAAGCTTAAATCAACGTAGGTCCTGCTGGTTACCGCTACTAATCCAGTACCGACAATATTCTGCATACATTTTGGTGTGGTAGTTCCAGATACGTCGTGGACTTCCGGAATCGAGAGAAGAAATTAATGAAAACGCCTGAGTTGTCCGAACGCGCTTTGGGGAAAGATATCGCAAAAGAGTTATTAAGGAATATTCCTAAAATATACACAATTAAGTACAACACATAACAGACGTTATCCAACGCCAACCCTGCGGTCGTATCTAGTATACAACCTTTCCAACTTTTTAGATTCCGTTTGACCAAGGCCCAATACTGTTCGATAGGGTGGAGTTCTGGGCTGTTGGGAGGGTTGTGGTCTTTGGGTACCACAACCACGTTGTTCGCATCGTACCACTCAATTGTCTTTTTCCCATTGTGGCAGCTCGCGAAGTCCGCCCGGAACAGCACAGGTCTATTATGTTGCTTTAGGAATGGCAGCACCCACTTTTCCAGGCACTCCTGGACGTAGATCTCTTGATTGATGGTTCCCGTAGTAATGAAAATGCCGCTTTTTAGACCACACCTGCATATGGCCTGCCAGACGAGATATTTTTTATCGGAAACTTCGATAGTTTGATGGTTTTGAAAATTTCAGCCACCTTCTCTTTTCCTGATGCGGTATAAAACTCCTGTCCCGGAAGCTGCTTGAAATCCGCCTTCACATAAGTTATGAGCAGATTCGTATACAGCTTTCGGGACCGCTGCTTTACCGACGTGTTTTGTTTGTAATCTCGGTTCGCCACCTTCACCTTCTTAAACGTTGACAACCCGGCTCGTTTCTTGACCCACTGCACAGTAGTATGGGAGACATTTAGCTTGCCAGCGACGTCCCGGATGGAGAGGTTAGGATCCCGCTTATATTTCATCGCCACCTTCTTCGTCAAGCTCTACAGTAAAAGTATGGATGTCTGTCAGATGTTGTTCCAATCGAACCGGCTTAATGCACCGCTTTGCTCGATTGGAACAGCTTTTTTCAGTTTTGTGGTGACATTCGTCCATACTTTACCTAGAGGGCTTTACTTCTTCGTCGTCGTTGCCACGTCCAGATTAGATTTCTGCCGCTTCCAGGATTCCGGACGGTCGACAGACGCTCCCCGAACACTTTTAAAACGTTTTTCACGGTCGATTTGGCCACATCCAGCAATTTTGCCAACTTGGCGCGTGAGAACTTCGAGCAAAATTTTTACACGCTGCTCCTCTTGCTTGGACGTCATTTTGAAAACTGGAGCAAACGGCGAAAACTCATCATAGCAATCATTGTATATACACTCAACTTCCAAATGCAGCATTTCAGGTTTTTTATGCATTTTTAACAGAAATACACCAATTTGAAGTTGACAAATTTTTGCGCGTTCCAGCCTTTAGTCTAGCACCCGCATCAGCACCAAAGGGAAATTCAGTAATGGTAAAAGTGAGTGCTTTTTTGTTGTTGCCCTATATTGTCCACCATGTACCGGTTAAGAAATCCGTGTCTCACACTCTCGTTGGGATGAACCTTGCATAAATCATCAGATCAACAACTTGAAGATCGCTGCCTACAATATTTACTACTTCAGGAGAAATGAGGTAATATTTTTAAATAAGTAGTATTTTTAAATTTACCAAAGCAAAACCAACAAAGTAGCTAAATGGCTTTACTACTGAGTACTGGTTAGTGAAATAACAGTCATTGCATTCCACAGTAAGCATAATTTATGATTTACTTCATCAACTGAGTCAATGTCAAATAAACTCTGATATGGTGTGTCACTTATTCAAAAACAGACAAACATAAAGAACCCGGCAGCTGTTATCGGTACAGCATTCTGTCTTCTCAACGCATAAATATGTACATACGTCCATGCGATGTGTAAGTGGACCAAACGAAGTGCATTTCCCCCGAACAGTAATGTTTACGTCGTCGTCCTGGTCGTCGTCGTTGGCGGCAGCGAATGGAGCATTCCCAGTGCTATGGCGCGCGGACAGCGTGGCGCCAGTGGAGCCGGCCAAAAAGCACGCTCACCAAACATGGATGATTTATGGCGGGAAGCGAGAGCTTAGAGAATACGCAAGCATTCAGCCAAACGGTCGACCATTTGGCCACATGTAGCACTGGACCGCCAGAGGCTGCATTTCAATCGTGTGTCTGCTTTTGCGACAACTAGCCCAATAGCTAGAAATTAAAGAGGGCTTTCCGGAAAACGGTACCACTTAAAGCGAACGCACTTTTGGCTATTTTGAAGCACCATCCCGTAACCGCGAAATCAAGATGGATTACTGAAGACAAAAAAGTTGAAAGCTCCCAAAATCCCCCGAGAGTGCCTCCCTCGCACTCCGGTGGATAAATCAACACATGAGTGCACTGCATGAGACTCATATCTCACGCTTGGTGTAGCAATTATGAGCTAAAATGCACTGGCTCTCAAACGGGCGCTGCTGTTGCCCATACACATATGATGCACAGGAGTAAATGATGAATGGTGAATTCAGGGAAGGTTAAAAGTGCGGATGGGAGTTAAATTGCACTTCAAAAGCGTTTTTCGAAATGAAAATGTATTTTTTGAGTGCCTCCCCAGAGATGCTCATTTATGTTCTTCCTCCTGGCATATTATGCTCGTTCTGGAATTTAATCCTGCTTGTTGGAAACACAGAGAGGTCGGAAAAATGCCAATCCGAGCCGAATTTCTACCGGTCCTAGGATCGAACCCACCATGCTCAGTCGAGTGTGCTCTTTGACTGGTTCTAAGCATTTACGCTTCTTTTGCGAGCGTTTTGACTGCTATCAACTGAATTTTCCTATTGTGTGACAAACACAATGATACTCCATGCTCACGGAAGTCGAGAAAGCTTTCAACCCGAAAGATTTCCTCGACCAGATCAAACCCACCGCCTCCGGTCAGAAAATTCTCGTCCACGTGAAAAGTGAAAGCCAGGCCAGAAACCTGGCTAAAATCGAAAACCTAGCTCAAGGAATTTCCACCAAAGTGTACGAGCACAAAACTCTTAACTCGTGCAAAGTAGTGGTTTTTTGCCAGGACATAAAGTTTGACAGTGACCAAGACTTACTCGAAGACCTTTCGAAAACAGGAATAACTGAAGTTCGGCAGATTATGAAAGGACGCGATGAGAACAAAACTCCCACTGGAATTTTTGTCCTCACTGTCAAGGGTACGGTTCCACCTAAAGAAGTAAAAATTGGGTACATTCTGTTGGAAACAAGACCGTGGTATCCGAACCCTTTGAGGTGCTTCGTGTGCTATTAGATTCGGGCATATCGGAAAAAAAAACTGTAACAGTGAAAAAAAAAGTGTAACAAATGCGGTGAGGCATTCCATGAAATCTGTGAAAATGCAGAAAAATGTGTTAACTGTGGTGATTCTGATGGAGCATTCTTCAAAGGGTGCCCAGCATTCAAGAAAGAAGTAGCTATCACCAAAGTGAAAGTGGACAGAAATATTAACTTTTGGGAAGCTAGAAAAATAGTGGAAAGCGAAAATAAAATCACGTATTCAGATTCCATTAAAAGTGCATTAACCAAACAATTTGATGAGAAGATCAAACAATTAAATGAAGAAAAGAAATCCTACGCGGAAGCACTAAGGTTAGATCTGCAGAAACAGTTCGAACAAAAAATGAAGGAAATGGAAAATAAGCTCATGGAAATGCAAAACCAGTTTGAACAGGCAGTTATGCCTACAGAGAAGAAAAACAAAAAAGAAAAACGGCAGAAAAGGAGCTCGAAATTTTCAAAGAGAATTATTCCAAACTGGAGAACACACTGAAACTCTACGGATACAAACCATCAGGAAAACACACCAGGAGCCAAGGCAATCCCATCGAATCTCCCCCAAGGAAAAAGAAAGGTATCGATAAGATGAAAAAAATGGGAAACGGTTGAGTACGTTAACTCAGAATCGGATGTCAGCTCTCAAGAGGGTGACGATGATGAGATGCAACCCTAAACCCAATAATTGTCATCAAAACAACTAGAATGGATCCAACAGCAAACAGAAAATCAACCGAAATTATTCAATGGAATTGTAATGGTGTCAGAAAACAAGACGCAGAATTACGGATATTGATTAATGAGTACAAGCCATCTCTAATCAGTCTACAAGAAACAAGAACAAACAGGTCAAACGAACACTCAATTCCTGGTTACGATACCTTATTCTGCCACCGTCCTTCAGGACAAGGTGGAGTTGCTATTGCAATCAAACATGGAATAAAATACTCAAAAATTCAACTAAACACAAGTCTTGAAGCAATAGCTATAAAAATCAACCTACCTCGAAAAATGACTCTCTGCAGCATATATCTGTCACCAAATCAGATAGTTAACAAAAAAGAACTTGACAACATAATTAACCTTATCCCCAAGCCATTTATTATATCGGGAGACTTCAACGCTCCCCATAGTCTATGGGGATCAAATAGAGATGATTGCAGAGGAAAAATGATCGCCGAAATAATACAGGGACAAGAGCTTATGCTACTGAATGACGGCAGCCCAACTTTCATACATTCGACAAACGCATCGACATGTATTGACCTTACTCTATGCTCAGCTGAAATTGCTAACATAATTAACTGGTCAATCCACGAGGACCAACACGGTAGTGACCACTTTCCAATTCTAACTGGTACCACCATACCTTCCAAAAGATCAAGACCAGCCAGGTGGAAAATGCACGAAGCAAACTGGAACATATTTGAAGCTAAGCTTGAAGAATCAATCAAATCACATCAATCATACACAATAGAAGAACTAACAGACGCAATTAAATCTGCAGCTTCATCAGCAGTACCAAAAACATCTTCTGAAGTCCCCAAAAAAACCGTTCCACGGTGGAACCAAAACATAGCAGAAGCAATCAAACTTAGACGAAAAACACTTAGGAAAATACAAAAATGTCACCCCGACGATCCTTCTTACCCAGATATACTAAACGAATTTCAAAAGGCCAAAAACAATGCAAGAAAAATCATTGAAGAAGAAAAACGGAAATCATGGGAACAATATGCATCCTCAATAAATAAAGACACACCAATAAAAGACATCTGGAATAAAATTCGCGCCATATCAAAAAAAAAAAGTTCATCATCGGCCAGGACCTGGGCGATCGAAACAGATAACGGTCCCATCACCAACCCCACCGACATCGCAAATCATCTAGCAGATCATTTCTACAAAGAATCCTCGAACGAAGCGTATCCACACCAATTCTTTCAGAAAAAAACAGAAGGAAGAAAAAATCCCAATCATATTTAAAAAACAACGAAATTTAAAGATGGACAAAGACTTCTCCATGACCGAATTACTATTCCAGCTAGATAGACTCACGGGAACATCACCCGGACTTGATGAAATTCACAACTCTATGCTTCAGCATCTACCGTTCTACATCAAGCGTAAACTATTAGAAGCCTACAACAATATTTGGAAAAACGGTCCGTTCCCGGAAATTTGGAGAAAATCTATACTGGTTCCAATACCGAAACCCGGAAAATATCCTAACACTCCAGACAACTTAAGACCGATATGTCTTTCAAGCTGCATTCTTAAACTGCTCGAGCGAATGGTAAACAGACGACTCATGGCTCATCTTGAGAAAAATAAAGTATTGGGTAAAGACCAATTTGGCTTTCGCAAAGGTCATCAAACCAACGACGTGATAGCCTACATTGACAACTTCGGAACGCATGCAATGCTAAACAAACAGCACGCAGAAATCATATTCCTGGAGCTACAAAAAGCCTACGACAGGACATGGCGCAGGCTTATCATAAAAAGGCTCGCTAAGGCCGACGTAACAGGTCACATGGCCAAATTCTGCTGTTCGTTCCTGGAACGACGGACATTCGAAGTCCAATACGAAGGGCAACTATCTTCTCCCAAAGTTCAAGAAAACGGTGTTCCACAAGGATCAGTGCTTGCAGTTACATTCTTTTTACTCGCAGTCGACAGTATCAAAAAATTGTTGCCAAAAAATACCTTCATTAAAATGTACGCTGATGACATCACTATTGCAGTTGCTACGAAATCAGCCAAGTGGATCCGTTCAAAGGTTCAAAAGATCCTTAAAGGTATCGAAAAATGGTGCGACGACACAGGTTTCAAAGTTTCAGCGTCCAAGTCGGCTATACTGCATAAAGGCAGAAGAAGAAAACTAAAGAAACCAGTCACCCCAACGCTCGGCTCAGAAGAAATCAATTTAACCAAACACCACAAATTACTGGGAGTCTGGATCGACCAGAACCTCAATTACAACTACCATATAAAAATTATCAAAGAAGATACAAAACGTCGACTCGACATCATGAAATGTTTAAGCAAAACCAAGTTTGGTGCCGATAGAAAATGCCTATTACATATTTTTAACATGGTAATTCTTCCAAAACTTATTTACGGAGCTCCAGTCTATATAAGCTCAGACAGACAAAAAGCTGCAAAATTAAACCCGATATACCACCAAGGTATACGATATGCTACGGGAGCCTTTCACTTCAGTCCAATAGAAAGCATAATATCAGAAAGCAGCCTTCTCTTCTTGGACCTTATATTTGCAAAACAAACAATAAACTACTCTACGAGACAGCTTGCGCGAGGAATTCTGAACCCAGAACTCTACCTCTCCAGAAATGCCAAAAATATTCAAAATTAGCTACAAATTCCAACAATGACCATTGAAAAAAAAAGGATCCAACTGCACCACTGGCCTGGGAGGAACGAGATCGCCGAATCAATATGGATATCCCAGAAAGACTTACCCCTGCAGCAAAACAATCTTACTTCAAAGAACTTTGCTGCACCGAATACCCCCACCATCACCATTTATATACCGACGGATAAAAAATGGACGAAGGAGTTGGATGCGGAATACATTCTAACAACGTAAATACATCAATATGTCTCCCCTCACATTTATCCATATTCAGTGCCGAAGCGTATGCAATTATCAAAGCGCTAGAAAACTGCACAACAGGTCTAAATGTAATATTTAGCGACTCAAAAAGCGTACTGGAAGCTGTCGCTAACAACAACTGTAATCACCCATGGATTTTGAAAATCAAATCGATCCTACAAGAAACTCACAGAAACGTTGAACTTTGTTGGGTCCCAGCTCACATCAACATCACGGGCAACGAGAAAGCAGACGACCTGGCAAAACATGGGGCTATGTTCAAATCCCCAATCGACATTTACACACCATTCGCAGATTTCAAACGAATGGTTGACGAACATATAAACCAAGCTTGGCAAAACAAATGGTTCATAAAAAAACAGCAAGCTCAGGCAAATCAAGAACACCATTTTGGAATGGAGCACCTCATACAATAAAGATCGACATGCAAGCCGAATCATAACAACCCAGACAACCAGAAGTCGTTCAACAATATACAGATAGTATCAAATATTATAAATTAACAATATAGTTCACTCTTCTATTATCTCCAAGACACGATTTTTCCCGACACTAGCGGCTCTAGTGACGCGAAAGGTGACTAGTACACTGTAAATTGAGCGTAACAAGGCTATCAAAAACAATTCACTGTTGAGCAAAATTTAACTACACGTAAGAAAAAAAAAAATAGTCAAAATTAAGTTTATATCTCAAGCGCCGCCGGGATTTTCTGAAGTACAAAATCTCTGATCACGAAGGGTGGGTGTGGAAGCTGCTTCTCAGGCGTCGGTAGCATTGGTATTCAGTACGGAAAACAAATCAAGGAAAAAAAGTTTATTTCACCCAACTAGGTACTATGTGGGAAGCCAAAAGTATGTAAAGTCCCATGCACTCAATTAATCATGTTTTGTTGTTTTTGACA